AAATTTTGAAAGATAATTATGTATTAATAACAAACTTTATAAATATTAAAATGTTAAATCATAAAGTTTGCTATGAATATGTAATTTATTTATTTTTTTGTAACTTGACTTATGTGTAATTCTCCCTTATTTTGTCTTGTGGTGAATAATTAAGATGTAATGAGTATATAGCAAGCAACCACTGTTCGTGCCTTTGAAGGCAACTACTGCCATAGGATATGAATTGAGTGGAGAAAATGAAAGAAATGAACATTTTTATGTGGTTTTCTTTATTCAGTTTGTTAGAAATATATTTTGATTTTGTTTAAGAATAATTAAAATATGTTTGTTAGTTTAAAAATATTAATTTTATTTGGACAAAACTACTCTTAGTCTAATTTTATTATTCTATTACCATTGATTGTCACTACCATCTCCACTCGTTAGTGACCACTTTTTGATAATCACTGCTACCAGTTTGCAATCAGTTTTCAGAAAAAAATAAAAATAAAAATTGACGACTCTCTAGTGAAGTTGAATTTCATTAACTTAACACGGTGAAATTTCCTGAATGTTGTTTCCAATGACTCTTCAAGGAAATGAAATTTCACTATCCTAAGTTAATGAAATTTCATTGTTCAAAATATAAAAAAATCAATTAATTGCTAAAAATTATAAAATTGAAAGTCAATTAAATTTTCACCATCTTAAAACGTTAGTAAAATTTCATTGAATTAGTCAATTGCAATGAAATTTTATTGACCAAGGACAACTGGAATTTCACCAAGTTAGTGAAATTTCGCTAACCAAATACAATCAACTTACACAAGGTCAATCAACAAAACAAAATCAGTGAAATTTTACTGACCAATATTAGTGAAATTGCACAAGGTCAATGAAATTTCACTGACTTAACTTTTGGTTTAAGTCAGTAAAATTTCACTGACTATAGCAACTTCATTGATTTTACTTAAAGAAATTTCATTGAGTATGACAAATGGTAGAGAAAAAGTAGACTACGGAAAAATATACAAAAAAAAAAAAAATCAAATTTATTTTAAATAAAGATAAATATATTCTTTAATAGAAAATGGATGACAATATCATTTTTTTATTCATACAACCAACAAATCATTGATATAATATAAAAGGGTCTAAGTTTTATATAAATTAAATATCAAAGGAAATCAGTATAATTATTTCAAAAGTTTAGAATTAACTGTATTTACTCTAAACTTAAGGGAGATGATAGTAATTTACTCAATAATATTACATACAATTAAAATGTTGACCAATCATGCTTATAAGATTGTAGGACCTAACTCAAAAAAAAAAAAAAAAAAATCGTGTAAATTTGTGAGAACTTATATGATTGATATGTGATTATTCTTTTTTTGATATAGCCATATTTGCTTGTGTAATTTATTAACAATTGATGCACTCAAACTGTATAACTTACTTGTGGTAAGAAAATAAACAATAGAAAATAAAATGACCCTTTGTATATCCAATTTTGGGGAACTTCAACACCATACTTCAATTCTACACTATAGTAACCACTTTCAAACGAATATAAGAAAGTAATATAGTGGATAAAATATTTATAAAAAAAAGAAAAGAAAACAAAAGAAAAATAGAATATAGGTTGACTGATTGATATAGATAAACATGGAGGGGGCATATGTTGACTAATTGATAGATAAAAATTAATGGCATCAGATTTATGTTTTTAATTGGGAGATTTGAAAAGAGATTTAGAAAGGAAAATAAAAAATACAGGTGAAATGTGAATAAAATATACTTATATTTTATACAGTTCCACACACTTTTTTCAAATTCCTTCCTAAATCTCCCAATTAAACACAATATTACTAAAAAACATTATTCAATTTTTAATAATAAATTTATCATTGTAAAAATATTTTTTAAAAAATACATTTATAATATTTATAATTCTCATATTATATTTCAATACAAATTAAAATAAATAAACTAAAAGTTATTACAAATTTACAAACAAAAGCAGAAATATCCTAATCATTAAATTTATCAGCATCATTATTCATATCAAATGATCATTTCATAAACGAGAAATGTCCCATTCCCTTGTTTTGTCACCTCCAATTGCACTTTGAATGAGGTGGGAACCAATAACAATTAACCATTTTCAAAGTGTGGGATAACTTCACATGGAAGTGTGTCATGTTATTTGGGAAAATATTTGAGACCCCTTTTAGGGATGACCTTTATATTTTTAAAGTGATCCTGACCCTGACCCTTTATGTATGTGTGAGATTCACTTATATATGTGTGCGGCCATATTATGAATGGTTAGGTTCAAATTTGTGAAGGTCTTGTGGGAGTGAGAGTCTCAATCATTGCTCGGGGTAGAATTAGGAGTGCAAAATTAGAGAGATGTATCACCACGCTTCATAAACACAAAACACGTCTAAAATGTCTAAAAAAAAATTCATTATCAAAATGAGGCCAAATACATTAAAGAAAAAAAAAAGAAAGAAAAGAAAAAGACTTGTGAGTTCAATCAATAAGATCTGCTAGTAATTATCTCAAAAATAATTAATGGATCATTTATTCATAAATCTTTCTTCACCTACTTATATTTCATTTAGTCTAAATTATTTTTTTACGTTCTAATAAATCTTGCGAGTGACATAATTATCAAAATACCTTTAATAATAACATATACATTGACAGTGTGAATGTTTCGTGATGTGAACATTTACACGTCAATGTGAATGTTCATATTGTAAAATATAAATGTTCACGTCACAAAGTTGCTAACCGTTCAAAAAATATTTGTAAGGATAAAATTATTCATAAAATACTTTAAATATGAGAATTAAAATCTGACAATTTAAATATCCAAATAATAAGATTTATTAAAATATAAAAATATATTATGAACTGATGATATAAGTAAAACAAAATTTTCGAATAAATCTCTCATAATTAATCCCTAGTAAGTAATAGGCATAGGCCAATTGCCAATCTTTTTGATTGAGATGGGAAGTGAGTTGGTTTTTTAAACTAGTTTAATTTAGGGTTGAAAAGTTTGATTTGGAAAAGATTTTTGATTTTTTTAATTTTTTCGTGAGAGAAAAAATGTAATAATTATGAGTTAGATGTGATATTTTATCTTAGTGGACTAAAAAGTCTATTTTGTTTTTTTATGACTATTTTAGCTAAAAAAAAAAAATCAAAAAGTTGACTTTTCAAACTAAAGCTTAAATAGAAAAAGAAAGAAAAAACCAAAAACTGATCAGAATTTGACAAAAAAAAAATTTGGTGTTTTCCAAGGCCTGCCATACACAGCTCATGGTGCTGCTGAATCTGATTCTCCTTAAATTTTAAATTTTTAAACAAACACATTTATTCAAGGACAAAATGGTAAATGTGCTCTCATACTAATGGATGTTATTTATTAGGGTTTGGTTATGGTGTGCAACTTACACCTTACACCTTATACCTTACACTTACACCTTACACTTACACCTTTTGTAAAAAATTAAACCTTACACTTGCACACCATGTGCAACCCACTTACACCTTACACCTTACACTTACACCTTATATTTATACTTACACCTTACACTTACACTTTTTGTGTAAGTGGCACATGGTGTGCACTTGCACACTTAAGAAAACTCCTATTTATTATAATTTATTCGAAAGTAAGATTTGGTGGATCATCAAGCTTACCAACTGGTTGAATATTGATAAAACTGGAGGACGAACCTTATGCTAAAATCACAATATAGTATATATTATAAAATTATTGTATATTTATTGTATATTTATTAGTGTATATATATGATTTTAATTATTATATACATATATAATACAATTTATATTATTTTTTAGTTATATGAAACAATCAATTAGAATTTTTTTGTGATGAATGTGTTTTAGCTTAAATTTGGCTTACATGAATTCAATCTGGAGTCCTAATTGTTTATGAATAACTAGATTCATTTATAGTACTAATTATAATATTGTAATCCACCAAATAAGATCGTTTTTTTTTTCATTCATAAACCTTTCAAGTTAGATTTTTTTTAAAAAAAAAAAAACTAATTTGATTAGAGAATGACCACAAAAACCATAGAAAATGGTGGGTCTAAAATTGTTTTACAAGTTAATTTGTATTTATTAATAAATCACCAAACAACAAATCACTTTGTTTGGTTTGGTTTGGTTTGGTTTGTAGTTTTAATCAGTTATTTTATTTTATTTTTTTAGTTCCACTTAAAATTTATAAATTTTGTAATTTTTTTTTAAAAAAAATCACTAAATACAAAGAAAATATAAACAAAAAAAATACATAATTCATATATTTATTTATTGATTTTTTAAAGATTTGTTTACAAATATAAAAAAAAAAAAATATAGATTAAGTGGATTTAAAAAATAAATAAAATTAATTTAAAAATATATATTTTTTACTAAAAATAAAAGGATACAGTTTGAAAACTAAAAAAAAAATGTTTTTAAAAATTCAAAACCAAACAGATTATTTATAAAATTTCATTTGAAATAAATTTTAAAAATAACTTGATTTGAAAAAATAATTTTTAATTAGTTATCAAGTCTTTTAAAAACTTAGCTTCACAACAAAAATAAAAAGTCACAAATAATTGCATTTCGAATCTCATGCAAGATTTAATGTATAAAAATATAGAGAGAATTGTATTATTGATAGATTGTATTGAATTGTGTATATTACAATTACAAGGATTCCTATTATATAGGAGTGTGTTTGGGAGTAGGTGGAGAGGTGGAGTAGGTGAAGTGGAGGTGGTAGTGGTGTAGTGGGTTAGGTTTAGTGGAGTAGGTGAGGTGGTAGTGGTGGTAGGTTTATGGTAAATTCTAACATCTCATATATATATTTAAAAATTTTAAAAATAAAAAATAAAGGATCACAAATGAAAGGGAAAGTCTCTAATAAAAATACAGTTGAGCATGCATACATACATACATACATACATACTATAGTATAGATCAGAGAGAGAGAAACAGTGAAATATACACAGATTCCTCTCTCTCTCTCTTCCCAGCTCTGCCCACCACCGATACTCCTCAAACCCCACCTAGGGTTTTCGTACTCCACATTGCCGCTACCGCATTTAGATCACTGAATCTAAAGCTTCATTTTCAGGTAACTTTTCTTCTTCTGATCTTGCTTTTTAACCTTTTTTTTTAAATTTTTTTTGGTTGAAATTGTTGTGCTCTCTTTGAATTCATTTCTCCTCTCTGTGATGTTCTTTATTCAACTATCTTTTTCGGAGCTTAATCTTCTATTCTTGATCAATTAGATTTGTTTTCTTAGCATATATACGTGTTTATGCATACATACATACATACAAATGTGTTATTAATGGATTTCGATTCGTGAATTAACTAAACTGATTTTTTTATATCTGAGTTTATTCAGAAGGAATCCCAGCTGGTTGTAAGAAAATGTGGGAAAACGAAAGAAAGTCAATTTTTTTTAAGGTTTCCAATTGGTGAAAAATCTAAGCTGCAAGTACTCTTATAAATGTTGGATAATAATTTGGTTAGTGATTTTTTATTGATTGGTTGATTGGGGATGTAAGTTTGAATATTATTTCAAACCTGCAATCAATATTCTTAATCAAGATTAAATTGGAAGTGAGGAGGATCTGCATCTGGATTTTCTTCTCTTTGTATCTCACCATCATCATCCTATCATCTTGAAAGCAATGGTTCTATTGTCTTTACGTATGTAATAGCAAAATGCTTCTTTGAATTACTGTTTGTGCCAGTTTCTAGTAGTAGTACAACTAGAGCACTCATACCTCCCTCTGATTAGTGGTAAATGTCACATGGAAAATAAATTATGATTTTCTATGTTACATGAACTCTTCTAAATATACGAAGTATCTGTGTTGGACACTCAACACTTCGGGTAAAGATATGATACATGTAGTTGGGTATTCAACCGACAAACATTATTAATAATTCGAGTTCATCATAAAACTATGCATAACCCTCCTCCTCCCCCCCTTCCTCCCTCCATGTTATGCATGAAGTGCTCTATGACACCTTGGGAACACCAATTTAAGCTAGAAAATAAAAGATTTATATTTAAAAAATATATGATATTTTGTCATATCCCAGTGTCTTTTTGGACATGGAAATTAAATGAATCAAAAAAACATAAAATTTAGATAAAAATTGAGTTGTCTTTATTTTTGTTCTGCAGGGATCAATAACATTAAACCAATTCAAAATGTATTTTCCATATGTCAGTTTATGACAAGATGCTATATATGACAATTTTTTGCCATTTTTAACCTTTTTAGTGTATTGAACCTGAAATGTTTTGGTATCAAGCTGTTACTTGCTAGACCACCATGCATGGACATTGTAATCCAATCTCTTAATATGCTGTTCCGAAACCTCCTTGGATTAAGAAGTTCATGCTCTTGATGTGCTATGGAACTCAATCTTGTGATTTCTTGTGAAATATGCCTTCTCTTTTGCTAGGAATCCTATGATTTATTTATTTTTTATTTTTAATTTCTTTAGCTGGTGGTGGGTTGGAGAAGGGGATGGTTCACTCACATTATCTGTACTTTGTTGACATTTCAGAATCTTGGTGGTGCATGTGAAGTGACTGAAGGTCCTGAAAGGAGTCAATGAACTGTAGAAGACATAGCTTCTGTATGATCAAAGAAAGCTCTATATTTATATAGAAAAAAATGATGAAAGAAAGCTCGTGATGCATCGAAAATGCTTCTTGAGAAATGGATTAATTTGAACTTTGTAGCCTGTTTTCAACCTTTATGGATTATTATATCCTTTTAGATTCATCACATCTGGAATAATCCCAAGTCCCCTAATGATGGGTTCATCTTCTGGTACTTGTGAAATCATTGAAGCAAAGGACGAGCTGAATTCAGTTCAAAGTCCCAAAGATATTCATCAAATAATAGCACATGGTAAAGGTCAAAAATCTCAACTGGGATCTGATCATTCTCTGGAAGATGATATCAATAAGCTTTTCGAGGCAATTAATCTCAAACCACCATCCAAGAGTCTGCATCTTTCAGATCAAGCAAGCACAGTCCCCTCAAGGAGAAATTCGTTAAAGAAACCAATTGGGGTGAGTGTGCCTCGTTCACCCGGAAATGGATTCTCAGAACCAGTGTCGCTGAAGCAGGCGCTAAGGGGGCTATGTATTTCTCAGGCATCTGAAATGGCTGCCATGAAACGGTTATCAAAGCCAATAGGTTCTCCTAGGGTCTCAGAAGCTGGTAAGATTGCAAGTTTGTACAGGTCCGTTGTAGTTGAAGCTGGTGAATCTAGTGGTTCCCTAAATGAAGTTAACAGAGAATCTCTGGCGTCAGAAGAAGGCACGTCAAATTCCTCCGAAAAATTACCTGAGTGTCTGCCAGTGCCCAAGATGAAGTCATCCAACCAGAGTGCCAATTCTTCTCCTCGATTTGCGTTGACAACAACAGAAAAGGGTACAGGGTCTGAATTAATAAAAGATAAAATTATACCTGTAACCGCAGAAGTTTGGAGTCCAAAATTGAAGACAGAATCAGCACAGGAAGAAAAGCTTGCAGCAGATCCGTCTCCATCTTGTTGTAATAGTGGTGACAGCATACTAGAGCCCAAGATGAAAACGTCAAACCAAAGTGTCCATTCTTTGCCCCATTTTGCTTTGGCAAACACTGAAAAGGGTACAAGGCCTACAATGATAAAAGATGAGATACTTGCTTCAAAAGAAGTTCAGAGTCAAACATTGGAGTTAGAGCTGTTACAGGAGGAAAAGCATGCAGCAGTTTCTTCTCCTTCTTGTCAGAGCACTGGTGGTACAATAGAGTCTGGGGATATTCCTGCCTCAGACAAATTAGGGAACAAAGTCTTCGCACCAAAGTTAAGGCGGAAAGGCAGGTCACAGACACTACCTTCTTCATCTCCTGCAATGAAGAGCAATAAAGGAAGCAAGTCAACAAGAAAGGCTCCACATTTGGTGAAACCAGTCTTCAGGAACAAGCTCCTTGTTAAGAAGAATTTAAAGCAGGTTTCAACTTCTGTTGGCTCCACTTCTAATACTAATAAAGAAATTAATGGTACCTTGGATCTTAGCACTGGCCCATTACTTTGCCAAAGATGCCACTGTACTTTGACAAATGTCGGGAATGAGTCCAATAAAGATTCTCCTTCATCCAACTGTACAATTGTCGGTGCTGAGATCAGCTCAATTAATCTGAACTCTGGTGCCAGTAAACTGGGCTTTGCTTCAAGTAACAGTAGCAAAAGCAGAACTGTGGTTGAAAACACAAGCAAGAATGCGAAAACTAGAGAAAAGGGGGATTTCTCTCAAAGTTCAAAAAGTAGCCTTGGCGAGTATAGTAATAGCACTAGCATCAGTGAAGAGAGTGACCTCAGTGGATCTAGTTGTGGCAATAGGCCTCACATGTCAAAGGACTTGAGGTGGGAAGCCATCCGCCATGTTAGGAAACAACAGGGATTTCTTGGTTTGGGACATTTTAATCTGTTAAAGAAGCTTGGTTCTGGAGATATTGGTTCAGTGTATCTTGCCGAGCTAATCGGAACAAACTGCCTATTTGCAATAAAGGTTATGGACAATGAGTTTTTGGTCAGAAGAAAGAAGATGCCAAGGGCCCAAACTGAAAGGGAAATACTGAAAATTCTGGATCATCCTTTTCTCCCCACACTATATGCACAGTTTACATCAGATAATCTATCCTGCTTGGTTATGGAGTATTGTCCCGGTGGAGATCTGCATGTCCTCCGGCAGCAGCAGCCTGGAAGATATTTTCCTGAGCAGGCAGCAAGGTAGGAAACTTAATTGAAAGGTCCATTTTTGGCATTTTTACTATTTTCTCAACTAATGTTCAATTGAAAACAATAAAAAAATGAAACAGAAAGTAGAAAAATGAAAATATATAAAAAATGGTAAACTAATTAAGATTTCATTTTGCATTGGTTGATTTTGTGTATTAACTCCTGAATTCATCAAGCATGGAAATAAAGATTCATTCACTTCAAAGTTTGAAGCTGTATTCATACCGTTAGGAGAAAATAGTATGTTGAAAGTGCAATTAATGGGGTTTCAAAATTCTACATTTACTCGTAGTTCGAAAAAGCATTAAAACTTACTTTAGATAGGCTGACACTAATAGATATTAAGGCACTATTTGGCATCCCCTATATTAGTACACTTTTTTTTATCTTTTTATCTTTTTTAGGCACCTCTTTACTTTTTTAACATCCTTTCATAAAAAGTCAAAAGTATATTTATTTAAATCATTCCAAACACTCGCTAACTCTAGTGCAAGAATGCATTGTGGCAGCATACATAATTTTTTGAGGAGTTTCCATCAAGTCTTCAAGTCAGCATTCTTGAGAATTAAAAGGTCTCTATTGTTAAATTCAAATGAAGTCTCAGAATGAGATGAGCCCCTTGATGCTTAATTTTCTTTTATATCCATCATCAACACAAGATTTTTCTCTAAAGATATGCAGGAAAAGTCTCCTAGGTATTCAAGGGCTCTATGGAGGCTAGGGTACGCTATGGATGTTTCTTTAGCCCTTTGTGTAATGTGTTTCGAGTGCGAGTGCATGCTCAAGCGCACTTTAGGCAAAACTCTTAGGATCTCTGCAGAGTTGGTTTATTAGCAAAAAAATTAGCTATTACTATGATACCCAAGGGGTGCATTTCTAGCTTAACTGTTTTTGTTTTTGTTTTTGAATGTTGGGCAAAAAGGCCCCTCAATATTTTCATAATTATTGTTGTACCCCTTTAAAAAATAGTTAGCTTTAAAAAAGCAATGGGCATTTCGGACTTTACAATTCAAAAAGCTACTTTTTAAATTATTTACCAAACAATTTCATTTTTTTCACATGTTATCCAAAAAGTTGCATTGAATACTTACGACTTATTGAATGTTGGAATGTGTCCTACATCGTCTGGAGTTGCCCCATCTGTGCTGGTTATAAGGTTCCAGTTTCCCTCTCTGTAATACCTGGGTTTTAAGAAGTGTGGGCCGGGCTTTTTCAATTTGGTATCAGAGCTTGGCTGGGCCTGTGACTGATGTGTCGTTTGTTTGGCTACTATATTTTGTGGTCCAGAAGGTTGTGTTGGAATACGTCCCACATCGCTTGGAGTTGTCTACTTGTTATAAGGCTCCCGTTTTTCTTTCCTTAATACCTGGGTTTTAAGAAGAAGTATGGGCTGAACTTTTCAATTTTGAAAGCATTTTAAGCCAATAATTTATAAAAAGCTATAATCTTAAAAGTTAATTTGAAGGTTTGCCAGACGGAGCCATATATATAAGAATATATCAAGGGTTATTTGTGTTGTGTTTCGTTAGGGTGAGATAAAGGATGGGATAAGAAGATAAAAAAAAATTTTGACTATCGGATGAAGTAGGGAAATAATCTGGTGCTATGTTACCCAGAATGTGGATCGTTTTGGTACTAAGAATGGGAAGGGGAGTGTGGCACGCCACATGCTTTAAAATGTGACACGATAGAGGTAAGCTTCTTAAAATGACATCTAATATATTATAGTATATTTTTCTTTCTTCAAATTAATCGTTCAACTACACAGTTCTGTGAACATTATGACCGATTATTTTACATTTTGTCAATCCAAAACTCCATTGCATCTAGATTTTAGTTTATTATATTTGATTTTTTTCCTATTAAGGAGAATTTTTAATGAAAAACATTGTGAGATCGCTTCGGATCGCTAAATTTACCGTTTTGGAACGAAAGTGTACAATGTTTTAGAATGTGCGTTCCAAAATGTTAATCGCCAAGGTGTTAACGTTTTCTGGTAACACTGATCTAGCGAGGCCTAAATCCGAACAATTCCATGGGAGAGGTGGCATCAGTTATCCTCCATTTAATCCTCCATATTCAGTATAACTTATCCCGTGGACTTAATGTAGAATTATTGTGGGTGCACCAAATACCGGATAAGAGACAAGGGGTGACCCACATTTCCTCTAGTCCTTATCTGGAAAACAAACTGTGCCTTAAAAGAATAGATTACGCACTTGGCCTACATCACTTGGCTTCTTGAGCTACCTCTCGGACAACTTCTTCTCTAAAAGCAAATAATTCTCTCTTAGGCATGCAAACACCAATCCATCAAAGCTGAGGTCATGCACTGGCATATTAATTAGTTTCTAAGAATATGATAATAAAGAGGAAATCACGGTTTTTATGAATGATTCTTGTTTCACATTGACCAAAATTAGCAAATCCGTTACACTCTAATCATTACCATTGCCACAGTTTAAACCTGTACTGTGTTCTTGACAGCCTTTGTGTAACAGCTCTTAGAGTCTTTAAAATATTGCTCTGGATATTATTGACTTCTGCTGCTGAAATCAATGTTACCCCCTTTACACCAACATTGATGGGTTATTTTTTCTTGCTTCTATAAACAAAGTAGTTACTGGAATCTAAATCTGAATGATGTAGAGCATTAATAGGAATTCTTTAATTATCAGGTTTTTACTTGTTATTCTTTTGTAGCAGAATTTAATCTTTGTGCAATATCTCAACTTGTATTTGCAGGTTCTATGTTGCTGAAGTCCTCCTTGCTTTGGAGTATTTACATATGCTCGGAGTTATCTACCGAGATTTGAAACCAGAAAACATTATGGTTCGAGAAGATGGTCACATCATGCTTACAGATTTTGACCTGTCACTTAGATGCACTGTAAGCCCAACTCTTCTGAAATCATCTTCATCGAGTATAGAGCCCCCAAAGATGTCGGGTCCGTGCACGGCATCCAACTGCATTGACCCATTCTGCATTGAGCCATCCTGTCAAGTCACATGCTTCAGCCCAAGACTTTTACCTGCTGCAAAAGCAAGGAAACTAAAAGTAGACCTTGCAGCCCAGGTCAGGTTGTTGCCACAGCTTGTGGCTGAGCCAACAGATGCCCGATCTAACTCCTTCGTTGGGACTCATGAATACTTGGCTCCCGAGATCATCAAAGGAGATGGCCATGGGAGTGCTGTTGATTGGTGGACATTTGGTGTCTTTCTTTATGAGCTTTTATATGGTAGAACACCGTTTAAAGGTGCCGGGAATGAAGAGACATTAGCTAATGTGGTGTTGCAGAGCCTCAAGTTTCCAGAATACCCACTTGTTAGTTTCCAGGCAAGGGATCTCATCCGAGGGCTGTTAGTTAAGGAGCCTGAGAATCGGTTGGGATCGGAGAAAGGGGCTGCTGAGATCAAGCAACACCCCTTCTTTGATGGCTTAAATTGGGCACTGATACGCTGTACCATTCCACCTCAATTGCCTGAGTTTTGTGATGTTGGAATTGTAAACGCGGCCTCTCAGGAGACGGGTAGAAAGTATCTGGAGTATGGGATTGCAGGAGAGCACGTGGAGTTTGAATTGTTCTAGAAAAAGAACTTATACTTCAGGTATTTACCTTCCTCTCCTCCCTTGTAACTAATATGTAAATTTAGTATGATGAATGTTGTAGAAAAGCTGTCATGTATGATGTCAGAAAATCGGTTGCTGAGACCTTCATAAAATGTCTTGAAAAGATTGGTCCTATTATGAGAGCTGGCTGTTTCACCACGGATTTGACATTGTTCTACTAAGTGGTGTTGAGCCAAATTTATAACCAATCAAGAGGTTGATCCTGCAATATTGACAGTGATATCCTTTATATTGGAAGCAGAAACTGTAGGAATTGATATTCCTTTTGAAATCTTTATATTTTAGTGACATCATGAAGTTTTTATCTTGCTGATTCTTGACTTGTGATTAAATTTACATCCAGAATCCAATCTTTTAACACATATTTAAAACCACAACTTTAGTTACTTTTGCACCTGCCGCACCATCCCAGTTGGGAACATATGCATCTGAAATTGTTTGATCTATCAGCTTGTAAAAGTTGATTGCATTCTTTTCCCTTTCTGAAGCAATGGCAAAAGCATTTGTTTGTTCAAACTAGCCTATCACTCGTGCTATGCACGGGATAATTATAGATATTTATATTTGTTTTAGATTTTTTTTAATATATAAATTATGTTTTTAAAGATTTTTTATAAAAATAATTTAACAATCTTATCACTAACCATAGTATATGAGAAAAGTTGAAAAGGGTACTGCAGTAACTATACACAGATTGTATCTATAATTATTTGTATGGGAAAATTTTACATGTTGATCGAGAGATTTTGACCAAATCAATAAATGTAGGCATGTGGATTGAAAAAAGTTAATAAATGCTGATCAGGAGATTCTGACCAAATCAGTAAATGCTGAGTTTTTTTTTTTAATAAAAAATTTAGAAAATTCAGATTGAGATATTGAAGCTCCCATAGGCCTTGGGGTTAAAAACCCCATTTTCCTTAAAAACCCCCTTGTGTTTATGTTTATCTAATTTCAATCATATTAAAAAATTAAATTATAAACAAAAGGAGATAACTTCAATTATACAAATCACATTTTTTTTAATTCTATCTAACTACAATCACATTTTTTTCATAATAAAAAAAATAATTCAAAAAAAGGACCATTAAAATAGTAAATAAAAAGATTATTTAGTAATATTGAACAAACGACAATCACATTTTTTTTTGTGAGTGTTTATGTTTATTTAACTTCAATCATATTAAAAAAATCAAATTATAAACAAAAGGAGATAATTTTAATCATGCAAATCACAATTTTTTTAATGCTATCTAACTGCAATCATATTTTTCTCATAATAAAAAAATAATAATTGAAAAAAAGAACCATTAAAATAGTAAATAAAAATATTATTTATAACTATTGAACAAACTACAATCACATTTTTCTTTTTGTAAGTTAACTTCAATCATATTAAAAAATAAAATTATAAACAAAATGAGATAACTTTAATCATACAAATCACAATTTTTTAATGCTATCTAATTATCATCAATAATTAAAAAAATCAATCACAAATTAAGTCAATTGATAATTAAAAAACACAAGAATTTATTTTCAAAAAACATAGTGAGTTAAAAAGATCAATTATAATTTTTTTTTGAGTCAAAATACAATCTAATCATCATCAATAATTGGTATATTATGTGATCCTAATGAGTACAATCCATTTTGTTTTTCAAAAAACACAGTGAGTTAAAAATCAAATCACAAATTAAGTGAATTGATAGTTAAAAAAACACAATAAGTTTTTTTCCAAAAAACACAATGAGTTAAAAAAATCAATTACAATTTTTTTTTAAAAATACAATCTAATCATTATCAATAATTGGTACTTTAAAAATCAGATCAGAAAAAAATCAAATCAAATCACAAATATTTTTTTCATAAATAATTGTAAAGAAAAACCATTAAAGCAGTTAATAAAAGATTAAATCACATTAAAAAAAAGAACTATTGAAAAAACTACAATCACATTACATTTTTTCCATAATAAAAAAAATAAATAATAAAAAAAAGAACTATTGACTAATTACAATCACATTAAAAAAATAGAACCATTGAACTAACTACAATCATTTTTTTTTCTTCGTGAGTTTATGTTTATCTAACTTCAATCATATTAAAAATAAAATTAAAATAGTAAATAAAAAGATTAAATAATATTAAAAAAAAACCATTGAACTAAATACAACAATTATATTAAAAAAAAGAGCCATTGAATAAACTACAATCACATCACATTACAATCATATTTTTTTCTTTGTGAGTGTTTATGTTTATTTAAATTTAATCATATTAAAAATAAAATTAAAATAGTAAATAAAAAGATTAAATAACATTAAAAAAAACCATTGAACTAACTACAACAATCATATTAAAAAAAAGAGCCACTGAACAAACTATAATCACATTACATTTTTCCATAATAAAATAAATAAATGAAAAAAACGAACTATTAAACTAATTACAATCACATTTTAAAAAAAAGAATCATTCAACTAATTATAATCACATTTTTCTCTTTGTGAGGGTTTATATTTATCTAACTTCAATCATATTAAAAAATCAAATTATAATTTTTTTATTCGCTAGAAAAATCACAAAATATTTTTATGCGCTATCTAATTACAATATTAAAAGAGTAAATAAAAGGAAAAGTCAAGAAGGAGAAAACAAAAAGAAGACTTACTGTTTGCGTACGTGATCACTGAAGTTGAAAGTGTAGAAGTAAGAAGTCAAGAAGGAGAAAACAAAAAGGAGACTCACTGTTTGCAATAGATATGTGAAAAGTTAAAAAGAGTGTGTGTGTTGGAGAAGTTAAAAAGATTTGGAAGAATTTAATAATTGCTAAGTTTTTTTTTTCAAAAAAAAATCAAAAAATTAAGAAATTAAGATTCAAATATTGGAACTCCCACAAAACTTGTAGGTTAGAGATAGATATAGATAAATAGATAGATATAGATATAGATATTTATATTTGTTTCAAATTGTTTTTAATATACAAATTATTTGTTTTGAAAAAGGTGCTGCAGCAATTATGAGAGAAGTCAAAAAGTCTTGTAGGTTGAGAGAAGTTAATAAATGCTGAGGTTAATTTTTTTTTAAAAAAAATAAAAAATTAAAAAATTAGGATTAACATATTGGAGCTCCCACAAGCCTTAGAGGTTAAAAATCTCTTTTTACTTAATATATAGTATAGGTTATGGCTAGTGTGTCTTGTTATATTCTTTAATCAAGGGGCATTTGACTTGATGAATAGAGGACACCCATTTCTACTCTTTTAAGTGCAATTTCCGTTCTTTTATGCTGTGTTTGGTTGGAGAATTTAGAAAGAGATTTGAAAAGGGAAATGGAAAAGGTAGGTGAAATGTGAATAAATCATGCTTATATTTCACATAGTTTCACACATCTTTTCCCTTTTCCTTTCCAAATCTCATCCCAAATCTCCCAACCAAACACAACATTAGACTTTGCCATTTGGTTTAAAGGAATAGGATGTAGACTTTCACTGATTCATTATTCATCAGGCAGAGCTTTGGCTTGGCTGGGTTGGGCTGCCTGCCTATACAGCTGCTGTCAATTTTGGATGTAATTTTTGTGTTTTTTTTCTTTGAGAACTGTACCCAAACACCAGATGCTTCCTTTGAGGACACAGATCTGGAATAAGGTTTTTGACAAATACACGACCTCCCCTTTGATTTTTGAAATTACGGTCCTCTCGTTAGAGTTGTTGGGAATTAACACTAGATTTGATGTTTCCTTTTTGCCCATTTACAAAACTAAATTCTCATCACCATATTTGTGACCAAACAAATCAAGATTAAATTCGATCCTATTCCATTCTTGTAACCAAACGCACACATCACAAAATAATTATCTCACAACCACCACTCACAGCATGCAATACTACATCACAGCAGCCCCTGCTCATCACAAAAACAGTTTTATTTTTCTTTTCTTTTGAACACAAGTCTTCAAAAAAATTGAAAATAACTTTTTGGGGCTTCTTCAAAATGGGTTGTCTCTAGAAATATTTTCTTGGAAATAATTTTGAGAAACAAATCGTCAAACAAGTTTCTGTGTTTCCAGAAAATGAAAATAGAGCACAAAAATGATGCCAAACATGCCAATGTTTCAAAATTATAATTCTGACTGGTTTATTGTTTTGTTGGGAAAACAAATAATTTCATGGAAAGGGATATACAATAACGGGGGATTTGGTGATAGATCCCTCACTATTTAATTTGTTTTTCAAAAGGACAAGAATTATATAGATACTTTCAAAACCTCATAATATTTTAAAACTTGTTTCTTTTATTATATTACCCTCATATCTATCAGCTCTCTTATTAAGTCATCTTCACAATGTATTTTTAAGTAAAATTTTACTTTGAATCACAGTAAACTTTACTCTAATTCAGAGTAAAATTTTACTCTGAATCAGAGTAGAGTTTACTATGATTTAAAGTAAAATTTTATATTGTTAAGCAAATCAATATGTTTTTAACCAAAGTAAAATTTTACTCTGAATCAGAGTAAAGTTTAATATGATTCAAAGTAAAATTTTACTCTGAATCAGAGTAAAGTTTACTATGATTCAAAGTAAAATTTTATATTGTTAAGCAAATCAACATGTTTTTAACCAGTGTAAAATTTTATTTTGAATTATAGTAAACTTTACTTGATTCAGAGTAAAATTTCTGTGTGAAATTCTTATTAGAGAGATTCTTATCAGAGAGAGAAATTGAATAGATCATCCATTTTAATAGATCGATCATCCATTGAACAAGCTGAGTATAAACAGATTAATTCAAAAATCAGTAAAAACATAAATCTACATTACAAGGATATATAACCACAAAACACACAGATAAAAAACTAAACAAAAATATCTCAACAAAATAATTAAATCAACAGATAAATCAAGTAATCAACACATCAAACTACTCACCAAATCGTTAAATCTTCAAATCCGACAACTGATTCAATCGATCTAACATCAAATCCAAATAAAACTACTAATTCAAAAAAATAAAATAAAACAAGACTTGAACTACAAACCTCCAAACCGTAGGACTCGAAACGCTAGGACTTGAAACCCTAGGAAAAATTGAGTTTGAAACTCGAGAACCGCCATCTATAGCTAGAATTGAAGAAGCTTGAAGTCATATTGTACAGTCTAGAACTTCGAGTAACTTCAGTTCGAGTCCATTTCTCACTCTCCATCAATTCTCGATCATGATAGCTCGCCAGAGACTTTTCTCGTCATCAAGAAAAGCGTTGTTACTACTTTATTTCTTTGTTCTGGTAGCGGTTGTTTCTCTTTGGCATGGGGTAGAGGAGCAATTGTAATAGGGCTCCGGCCGTGAGTGTGTTAGTAATTTGAACGATTTAGAATTTGAAGAACAAAGAAGAGAAGCTGTGTTTAACGGGAAAGGAGAGAGACAAAGAAGGTGGGGAGAGAGTGGGTGGAGGAAGTGAGAAGATTTAGTTGAGAGTATAATAGTCTAATAAAATATTTAAATAATAAATTTTGTCCTTTATGCAAAACTTTATAATTATGAGGGAGTTTAGAAAGTATAATTTTTTTCTTAATCCTTTTAACAATGAAAGAAAGGTGAATGGAGTTTATAGCCAAATTTCCGTACAATATAATAATTAAGAGTAGAAATTCATATGCTTTAAAAAAAAGAGAGTATGCATACATTCAAAAAGAGACTTTGAGGAATACTAATAATCAACGAATAATTAACAAAATAAATTATATCAAATAGATCAGTGCGATTAGTTCTCTCAGAAATGTACAAACCTGAGAATTTAATCAAACAAAAACAAATGGATTTGAATTTTGCAGGATCGATCAGAGGGTTTGCACGCATTGACTGAACCTCGTTTACTTGATTTTTCCACAAGACTAATACTTCGGCTTTGTTTGGTTTTTACTAAAAAATACACACACACATATATATATATATATATATTGGCTATGTAATCAAATAAAAATTGTATGTTTGATTTTGGCCGATTTAGGTGACAAGGGGTAAAGTAAAAAAATTATTTTAACAGAAACGATCATTTTGATAAACGAAAAAAAAAGAGAGTTGCATTTTATTAGGAATTTTTAAATTTTTCATTAATTTTAATTTTTTTGATCTTTCTAGTTAAGAAAATTCTAAAAGGGAAACCCAAAAAAAAAAGGTTTAAATAACAAAAGTAACATTTTTAACAAATGCCAAAACGTATTAATTGTTAAAAATTTACCAAAAAAACTTTAAAAAATTGACTAAAGACAAACAAATACATAAAAATTCAAAACTACCTGAACTTTTCAAATAACAAAAATTTTAAAAAATAAAATAAAAAATTAAGCCATAAAAAGTTGAAATGATTTGCCTTTGGGGCATCATTTTATTAAATCCACATTCTAAAATCTGTGTCAGGTCTAAAAAATCTGTTGAGAAATTATACTTACACAACACATTTATCTCTTTTTACCTTTTATTTAAAAAGTTTTTTGTTCCCCAATTTTATCTATATGTGAAATTACTTTTAAGAACAAAAGATAAAAATTAAATAAATTTAATTATCTCTTTATACTCATTATATTTCAATCTCTACTCTTTTTTTTTTTCCCCTCATTTCTTATTCTTTGCTATATATCTACTTTCAAAAAATGAGAATGATAAAAAAGAAAAGAAAAAAGTAATAGACGAAGAAATAGTGATGAATGATCAATAAAAAGTGAAATGATGATTTTTTTTTTGTTTGTTTTTTTTATGTTTTTGTTTTATTTTTTTAAGAGGATTGTTTGATCTTTGGTTGATGTACTAGAACCAAACAGAATCAAATAGCTTGACAGCACACTGTGGAACAAAAAATACATATTCGATAATCTACTGTCGAATAAAAAATACTTATTCAGTAATCTACTGCCGAACAAAAAGTACATGTCCAGTAACTCACAGTTAAACATTTTCAGTTTCATTTTTTGACATTTTTTTTTTGAAGGATTATGTTTCTATTCATTACAGTAAGGCTAATGGTGCATTGTTAATGATTTGTTATATTTATTTGTTTCCTGGTCATCTAGTACCTCCAAAAGTAAGTAGTTGGATTGATTTTCATCATTTGTATGTTAATGGATGGGAGAACATATATTATCCCGTATTAATTAATTTCGTATGCTTGTCAGTCTTAATGCAGTATCTATTAAAACTATTAACATAGAAGGCTTGTGATAACAGTCTCAATGCATTTTTATAGATATTTATATTGACAAATTTGAAGGTATTTGTATTGAAAAATTTTATGAATGTTTGTACACTTTATGTTTTTATGTATACTTAATATTTTTAAAAAAGTGAATATGTAAATGTACGGTAACAGATGACTAGATAAATATAATTTGTTCGGTAATATGACACCGGAATAATCTAAATTATTTGGCAATGTAGTCAACAGATGATTGGAAAAAATTATTTGTTAAATAATATAACGGAATAATTTAAAAAGAATAGGTATAATGAGAAAATTTTATAAGAATTTTAAAAAAGATTTAATTTAGAGTTAGTTTTGGTATTATAAAGAGTATAATAAGAATTTTAATTATTTTTTAACGGTGTAATGAAAAAATAAGTATAAAAAAATAAAATTGTGACGTGGATAGAAATTGCCAAATTCATTATGTGGGTGTACATAGAGGAGGTAGTGTGTGGAGACAGAATTTACTAAAAAGCCTGATAATGGAGTCCGTATGGGGATTGGAGGAACGTATTTTGGAATCAGTCCGTCAGCGTTTCTCACCGGAACCCTTTCTCATCCTCACCGGCGATCCGGCCGAACTCCGGCGAGTCATCTGTTTCAGGTAACTCTCTCTCTCTCTCTCTAGGGTTTGGTTTCAGATTTTCTTTTACAAATTAGATTATCCCAAAAGAAAGGGAAAAAAAAAAAAAAAATTTCGGCTTGGGGGTTTTAATTCTGAGTTCTGAGGATACTTGATAGTGAAAACTTAACAAATTTTTTTGGTTAATCACTTTATTCCGAAACACCGCATGTTATTCCTCAAAAATTTTATTGCAATTCTTGAAATAAAGTAAAATTCTTGCTTGTTTTGAGCTAATAAAAATTGTTTTGTTGTATGATTCACGCGGTGTTCTAATTGTCTCTTGAATATGAAAGCTTCTCATTGTTGACTCAATTTCGAAGAAGTATGTTGTTTTTTGTTTTTGTTGTTGTTGTTGTTGTTGTTACTGCTGCTGCAGGGAAGTGGTTAGAAATATGAAATGAAATAACAATTTTGAGTCCGTTGATTCGCATGTGAATTCCAGTAAAAAAACCTTTCTTGAAACCTGTTGATTTGATTCTCCATGAATACCAAAAGTAAAAGGCATTTGTGTTTTTGTTGATTCATTCATACCACGAAATTCAAATAGGAAGTAAAACCTCTCTAATAGTCATAGGACTTGCAACTCTAGGATTTTTTTTTTTTTTGAACTGAATGTAATTCTAATATGGAAATTAAATCAACTCGAATTAGAAAACCTAATAATTTTAGATATTCTATACTAAACTAGGAGATTTCTAATCAATTACTAATTTTCAAAATATTAAAAATAAAACTATAGTTTTCCTGAAATTTCATCTGTATCATCTTCCCCAACTTCAGGAGAAGAAAAAAAAAAAAACCTTGTTCTTGACTTTTCGTTGTTTGAAATAATTTGACATGTCTGCACTTGTTTGTATTTACTTTGTATTAAGATTAACTTTCTTAAACTTTAGATTTTAAAGAAAGGACTTCCAAAATTGAAGGAATAATTTGTTGGTATTTAAACCAAACCACTTTTTTGTAACTCTTAGAAAGAGGAACAAGTACTGCAATTTTACTGGACATGACACGAGCTCCTAACACCTTGTAACTCTTTTGGAAGGGAACTTTCCCAACAGTGGTCAGTCGAGAATGATGTTTTTTACTTTCTTTTCTTCTAAATTCAATTAGTTTCATCTCACTACTTTGCTGATCTATGTAACGTTCATGTGCACATAGCCAACTAATCATATTCCTAGATATCCTCAATGCACTTCCAACAACTTTTTCAATGGCATTGCAGTATTCTATTGTGATGTTGTCCATATCATTGAATTTTAGAAACTTCATTACATGCTCTTTCACATTAGGGAGAAAATTCTCTCTTTCTTCCTCATTAGCTGCCATGGGTTCAGGTTTTTTACCTTTCCCCGTGGAATTTTTTTGTCTATTTGATAACTTCCTCTTCAACTGTGATAATGTTTTTGTTTTCCTCTGGCTCTTCCTCTTACTTTCTTTTTCTTAGCAAATTTCAATCTTTTAGGATCCTCATTGTAAATTGGAGGTAAATTCCGACCAACTTGTGATTGCAGTAAAGATGTATTAGTGTCTGAAAATATAACATCACAAAGACATGTTGCGTTGTTAATGTCGACCTGATTTTCTTGGTTTAGAGAAATCATACTTGTTTAAATTTTATCTCCTTGTTCATTTTGGTGAGCTAACTAGATACATAGGTGAGTTATGCTAAATGTGTTTTCTTGGTGGGTCATATTTTGTTTTATTTTGTGTACATGCACCTGTATTAATTCTATTTTGCTTCTTTCTTCTTCTCTGTTTAGAAAACAGAAGGGGGAAATGTCATCTGTAAATTGCAGTGGGTAATCACTGTGTTATATTATTATGTAATTTTCTCATCCATCATATTCTGTGGCTTTGGTGCAGTCAGAATAATGCCAAAGGTGAAGACGAATCGTGTCAAATACCCAGAGGGGTGGGAATTGATAGAGCCTACACTCCGTGAACTACAAGGAAAGATGCGAGAAGGTTTTGATACTCTTATGTGATGTTGTTATTGTCCTGAGTGCTGCTTCTTTATCTTGTTGTCTCGACATTATGAAACTAATCATAGTACCTTTATTTATTGTCTTGGACAGCTGAGAATGATCCACATGATGGTAAAAGAAAATGTGAGACATTGTGGCCTATTTTCAAAATAGCACATCAGAAGAGTCGGTACATTTTTGATCTTTACCACCGGAGGAAGGAAATATCCAAGGAATTGTATGAGTTTTGCTTGGATCAAGGTTATGCTGACTGTAATCTGATTGCAAAATGGAAGAAGGTTTGCATCGTCCCCACCTTGAGAATGTTTACAGTATAAACTTTTTTCCCTATTTGGAGTAAATTCTACTTTATCCCCCCAGACTATCCTTAAAAATCAATTAGACCTATGTGCTCTTAATTATAATTTTACACCAAAACTATTCTGATTCGATAAATGTGACCCCAGACCCTTCTTTGTAAACATTGGAATCTCTTTCATGCACAAACAACAATTTTATGTGATTTACTCTTTATTAAGTTGTTTTTTATTTGCAGCCTGGTTATGAACGTCTATGCTGTTTAAGGTGCATGCAACCCCGAGATCACAACTTCCAAACAACATGTGTTTGTCGAGTCCCCAAGCATCTGAGGGAGGAAAAGGTTATAGAGTGCGTGCATTGTGGTTGCAGGGGTTGTGCAAGTGGAGACTGATGGGTCTTCTACTCAGTGTAAAGGAGATCCTCTCACTGTCATCTTTCTATTCTTGGCACCGATATGTCATGAGGCAATTAGTGTCTAAACTGTGTGAAAGGTCTGAAACATTTTCTCAAAACTGGGTAAGACCTTTGTTGTGATGATTCACTGAAAACCTATATGTGAAAGTTGTCTTAAAATTTTCTAGTTTCCCCTTGTGACTTGACTGGCCTTAAATGCCAAAATTTTTTCATCTTTTATATGGACTTCTTGCAATTGAGAGATGAAAGCTGACCCTTGCTAAGGTCATCTTTGCCTGGATAAATTTGTAGCAACCCTAGGCTCGAAATGGCTGTACAAGGAGGAGAAACAACATAGGATCCTAGGCATTTATCAAAAAAAACAACGACATAGGAGCCTAGGCTAGCAATTAGTTGTCGTGGCCTGCACCACAGTGGATCCCTTGTACCATTTCTTTCTTGTTCCGAACTCTCTATGTGATTATATGATAGAGAGGGGGGTTTGGGACAAGAGGACAGAGGGAGAATCCGGAAACATGATCTGGTTCTTACCCACACCTAAGAAAAGGCCTACAAACTAAGTGTAGTTAAGGTGCCCCTATAAAATAACCAAATTAAAGGAAGCGAATGATGCTGTAGTCAAAATTGATGCTTCTGTACAATACTATGTACCGAGATAAGTACAATTATGGACTACAATCATTTTAAGTGCATTCACATCTTTTCAACTTTAAATTTATATCATACGCATCACTTTCGAAATAATTTTCAAAATAAAAGTTTATGATAAATAGCATTTTCCTTAGCACATTTAGAGGACATTGCACTTATTAGTATTGGATGAGCTGTGGTAGCACGAATTTTGGCTTTCAGCTTCATCATTTGCTCAAATAAAAATCTGCATTGGATCTTGTACTTGGGTTGGAAGTTGTGGAGGGAAAACAAAAAAAAAAAAGAAAAGAAAAATATGGTTGAAATCTAAACTAAAAATATGATTTTTTCTTCTTCTTTATGATGGGTAGTATATAGTTTGTTTGCACAAGGAAAAAAGACAATATTTAAGGCCATGTTTGTTTAGCCTCTTAGAAGGTGAAGTTGGAATTGATAAAATGATATGAAACTAGAAGTCCCGGAGGGTGAAATTTGCATTCCCATGGAGGGTAGGAATTGATAATCCAGTCCTATAGGGTTGGAAGTGGAAAGCCATTTTTGATCATATCTTACAAAAAAATATGGTTATGTTTAAGAATTTTTTAACGTAATTTCACATATTTACTATTACGTAATGAAAACTTTTATATAATCTATACTGTATATATAATTAAGGAAAAATTGGTCTAACGTCCCTCTTCCAATTTTAGTAATGGAAGAGATCCACAATATTATATTATGATGTCTAAGGTCCCTCAACTTCCACACTAATATATCACAGAGAAAATTAACTCTCTCAAGTCAATCCTTATTTATTTATTTTTTTCTGTTTGTCTAAACTCTGTCTTCTTCGCGGAGGCAGGTCTTGAGTTGGACCGTGCCATGAAGGCAGCCGGAGGGGCGCTTCAGATCCAGGTTGCGAGTGGCACGCTCACCGAAGCCGACGTCGTGGAGGCGGAGGCGGGCAACAAAATTGAAGAAATCAACAGTTCTCACACATGGTACGTTGAAATCTTCATAGCACTTAGGAATCCATCGATACAGGTTTGGTATTGTACGGGGAGCAAATATTCCGGCAAGCCCGTATTCCTTTCTTCCGAGCTCCGTTTATGTCCGATCACCTGCGCTCAAAGAATGGTGAGCTACCCGGCGGTGTGTGGCCGGAAAAACCCTCCGACGATCAAGTTAGCACACACCTTAGGATAGAGAGAAAGAGAGAGGGAGGTGTTTGAGTGTAAGAAAATCCTTACAAAGTGTTCATCTGTCGCGTATGGGGGGCGCAGACATGCTTATATACCCTCTGTGCCCCGTATCTACTCCTAGTCGTCTCCTGACACGTGGCTCCGCTTGGTGAGCTACCCGGCGGTGTGTGGCCGGAAAAACCCTCCGACGATCAAGTTAGCACACACCTTAGGATAGAGAGAAAGAGAGAGGGAGGTGTTTGAGTGTAAGAAAATCCTTACAAAGTGTTCATCTGTCGCGTATGGGGGGCGCAGACATGCTTATATACCTTCTGTGCCCCGTATCTACTCCCAGTCGTCTCCTGACACGTGGCTCCACTATCCCATCTGTCAGTATAAACCTTGCTGAACATCACCTAATCTCAACTGCCTGACTTCACAGCTGGAGCTCAGCGGCCGAGCTGCTCTACCACGGCCATGCTATACTTCATACCCAAGCACCTCACTGGATAAACACAAGGAGGACCGGGCTAGGTGGCATCTCGGCAGAGCCTAGCCCGGGCACCTTCTTTGGTCGGCCTTCCTGCCGATCAAACGGTCTCCTCGGTTGACCATGCCTTTCCGAGCGTCGGTCACACAGCTTGTCTGGCTTCAGCCATCCCCTAATCAGGCAGCTCGGTCCAACCGAGCACTACCTTGCCGAGCTTCTTTTCGGTCCGGGGCGGCTCACACTTGGCCCAAGTTCTGCCCGGCCCAAGTTCTGGCAGCTCATCTCTGGGTGGATAGTCGATCATCTCGGCCCCATGCACCGTTGGGCTCTCAACCTGTTCGGCCGTTGCCTCGGCCCAACTCCAGATCACAAATCACCCTCTCAATTGCCCCTTAATTCCGTCCGTGAAAGCGTGACTGGGATTACTCACTTCGATCGAGGTGGCATTTCTCCTATCTTCAAGATGCCAAACCTCGACCGGGCTAGTTATCATAACTGTCTGCAAACTTGCCCGGTTATACTCCTCGGCTGACATCCTTTTCTTCGAAAGTAGCTCGGTTGGCTCTTCGACTCTTCAACCCGTCACTTCAGTCTTGACGTCGCCATAAATGGGGACACGTGGCGGGCTCCCATTGGTCATCGAGAAGCCAACCCGCCGTTTTTGCCAGAATTTGAATTTGGGCGGCCTCTCGCTGGTCTATACATACAGGACCTCCAAACTTCATCTACTCCTACTGATATTCCGTCTCACAACTCCAGAGCTCTAGCATCCTTGTCTTGGACTCGTCTGCCATTCTTCGTGTTCGAGGGACTCGACCCTGCCCTTCACTGGTGAGTCCTTCTACCTCTATTTTGTTACTATTTTCTTTCATATTACACACATTAGGGCACAAATACGTAGCTCCTAGGGCATAGGCCATAGAAACAGTCCCAAACCTCCCACTGTTCTTGGTGTTCTTCGTCTTCCTGAAGAATACTGAAGAACTGGGGCGAACCGGGCTCCTGGTCTTCTTTTGATCTAAAAAACCAATCAAACCGAGCAAATAACAAGTTTGTCTCAACCCCAGCAAAAACCGAGATCATAAAAGGACTTGGTCGCTCAACCGGGCTAACATCTGGTCTGCTTGGGCGACCGGGCTCCTTAATTAGAATAGACAACCGAGGTGGTTTGGCACTCTAAATGACCGAACTAAAGTCCAGCTCCTTTTGCGCGACCGCGCTCACACTTACACTTGCTATCCTTTTCCTGCAGAGTCCAAGGGGACCACTGTCATTCCTGAGGCTCTCAGGACCGAGCAGCAACCAATTACCACAGTGCCAAACCCTTCAACCGGGCTATACCAAGCCGGCCAGAAATGGGGAAATTCTGCTTCCTAGTGGATACTCCGGCCGCGCTGGCTGCGTTCAGGGAGGAGGACGGCGTCCCGGCCGATGTCCACCTGGAGCTCGCAGAAGAGGAGACCACACCTTGGGGTAGGGAGGAATGCCCCTTCACCGTGCTGTCCATCGTCGAAGGGGGCCTTCGTTTCCCACTCAATCCACTGATAACCGAGTTCTTGCGCCGAACCGGGCTAGCACCCACCCAAGTGTCCACCAATACTTACCGGATAATAAACGGCGTGCACGAGCTAAACAACCGGTTAAGCATTAGCCTAGGTTTAGCCGAGGTCCTGCGCCAATACACCCTGGGCCACACTGGCGACGGCCTTGCCTATTATCTCAAAATTAGACCGGGCTGAGAGAAAATCGGTACCGGCACACCAGACAAGGATCTTCACGACGATGATTTCTTCTGGGTGTCAGGCAATTATGAGACAGCCGAGGTACCGGGCTGGATGATCAGCAAAAACTTTGGCAGCACATGTAAGCCGCGCAAATTTCCTCGGTTAATACATTTTCTTGATGTCTCTGTACCTTAATCATTTTCTCTCTTGTTTCTTTTGCAACCATCCAAGCTTTGCAAGCCAACTATAGTTTTCCCAACGTAGAGGCAATCAGGACCGCGCTTCGCTATCGCGACCGAGATTGCAATCAATTGCTCGGCTACAGTCCCACATACAGATACTCCGCTCCCCGCCGGAGTAAAGTTACTGACTTCCTCTGAGCTCCAACACCTCCACCAGATCCCACTCTGCCAGACGTTCCCCTCATTCGCCTGACAGAAGAACAAGAAATGGCCAAGCGTAGCAGAATCAAGAACTTGCTCACCGTCACATCCGCCGAGATGCTGAGCGTTGTAACTCGCTCGCCAGCCGCCGGTCAATCCAGTGGCGCTGTGGTCGCCCTTGCCTCTTAAGCGACCGGGCAATCCAGCCGAGAACCCTCTGCACGTCGTGCCAGTAAAAGAGCTCTGGCAGACCCATCCGCCGAGCTAGTCGCCGAGCTGACTACCGAGCATCCAACTGACGCCCCCGCCCCAGCGCCGGCCTGGCGTCCCCAGTTGAAGCACCGGGGTCAAGACATCCCGGCAACGGCTTCGATCAAGGCTGACAAAGAGCATCTGCTCGCCTTCGATCTGTCCAAAGCTTTCCTACTACCGAGCGGCGTGGTCGGCAGCGACCACGTCCCTGACACTCGGTTGGTCAAGTCATCAGTGAAGTCCATGGCCAGGGTAAGTCAATGTAGCTCTGAAAACTTCCCAAGTGTTTGCCCAGTTCCGTTTCTAATCAACTTTGTTTCTTGCAGGCCATTCAGAAACAACATCTCGTCTTGGAGCGCATCCATAGGCTTCGGCAAAAGGCCAATGACACAGCCAGCCAGGTCGAGAGCCTCCAAGCCGAGCTCGGCCGGGCTAAGTCTTCGCTCGAGATTGAAAATGCGGATAACAACCGACTGCTCGGTCGGCTGGATGCTTCCGAGAAGAAATGGGATGAGCTCCAGACCGAGATAAGCGTGCGCAAGAAGTCGAAGAAGAAAGAGT